CCGACGGTACGCAACGGCGGCGTCCCCGAGCTCGAAACCCAGCTCCATGCGTGGCTCATCAACATGTGTCGCCAAAAAGTCTCGATTCCACCAAATGTTGTACAGCACAAACCCAAGTCAATCGCCAATTCGTTCGACCCACCCCTCCAATTTGAAGCTTCCCCTGGTTGGCTCGAAAACTATCGCCGAAGGAGCTCAGTTGGTATCACCATCTTACACGGGGAAGGCGGAGAAGTGGACAAAGAAGACCCGGAGCTGCTTGCCGGCCTTGCTGTGCTCTGGAACATCGTAGCCACGTACCCTGAGCACTGCGTCTACAATATGGACGAGACGGGACCTATTTATCGCACACTTCCACGGAAGAGACTCCTTACCCCCGACGAACCCCCTGTCTCGACTCGAGGTAGAAAGGTCCCGAAGGATCGCGTCTCACTCATTTTATGTGCGAATTCGGACGGCACGCACAGATCCCCATCTGTCTCGTCGGCAAGGCCAATGAACCCCTATGTGTCCGCGAAACGTCCAGGCCTGTGCACTATTTCTCCCAGAAGAAAGCGTGGGTTGATCGAGAGGTTTGCGAAGCCTGATGCCGTGCAGTCTTTGTCCCAAGTGTGCGGTCATTCACGTCAGGTATTGCTTTTTCTCGACAATGCGCCTGGTCACTTCTGTGACATGGAAATAGACGGCGTGCGGATTGCATTTTTGCCACCCAATTGCACTGCTTGGCGCCAGCCTATAGATCTGGGGGTGATTGCAGCTACGAAAAAACGATACCGGTATCTTCTGTTGAGCCGCGCATTGTCTTTTTATGAAAAGACATGCGAAGTGCAGGATGCGATTCGGGAGCAAGCTGCACTTTTACGCGCTGGCGTTGCTGGCGTCGATTATGGGAAGCCTGCGCACGTCCTGGATGCAGCTCTGTTGATCAAAGAAGCATGGGATAGTGTTACTGCGAATTCGATTGCCAATTCCTTTCGTAAGGCTAATTTAAGATCGTCATATCGTTGTACTGAGGAGGTCGAGGTTGACGATAAGTACGACCTCCTCAGTCTAGTTCCGCGCATTGGAGGACTCACTGAGGATGAGTTAGATGAATATGTCGAATGCGACGATCGACGATCTATCGACTACATCACCAGTGAATTTTTTTTCGAATTCTGAATGAATTTTAATTGTCCTTGACCCATGGTTTTCCATCTGGTGCGCACTTAGAACCCGCGCACATTAGCGCGAGATTACTGTAATACTATAGTCTGGTGCAGTATTTTGTTTCGTATAATTCAAAGTACTAGTATTAATCCTGGACCCTACTGGTACTACTGTAGTACTACTAGTAGTACGATACAAGTATGCGACATACGAAACATATCACCTGTTCACAGTGGGGTACCATTTTTACATACATTCGCGATCTATTCGATACCTTCGTTCCGAATGTATGTACTTCAACTAATCATCAACAAATACCAAGCTCTTCGCACTGTACAGCCACAACAGTAAGTACTTGTATCACTTTTCAAATCGCCACCTCGACGCAATGCAGCAATCTACTTGGACGACCGACAACACGGCCATCCGTGGCTTGTCCCTGGACATTCCCGGTCGAGTGGTGATCCTCCACGACCCCCTGCAAAACGCCACTGCCAAAGTCGACGTGTTCACTGACATCCCTGAGTTTCTCGAATTCGTTCACTCCTCGCTTGTGACTCGAGCTGATGGCTCCCCCTACATCAGGACGACCTTTCGGAGAGATCTCATACCGCAAAGACAGTACCACCTCCACGGATCCGTCCTTGTGCACGTGACGTTGCAAGCCCCCGTGTCGTTTGTGGAATCTTCATCCCGGGGGGACACCATCCTCCACCAAGAAGCAGTGTCCCTTGGCTTGAATGAATCCCTCGCGGTGGAAGCATCCGAGTCCAACTCGGTGTACCTGGAGTTGAATCAAACCGTTGAGCTGGCCAATTTGCACTTGACCACGAAAGACAGCGGCGCCATTCAATTGGTCACGTCTGGTGGCATCAACGTCGCGTCCTCGTTGGACGTCAAGGCGAACGACGGGGGTGTCGTAGCTATCCAGGGAGAGCTCGCTGTCACCAGCGACAGGCTCAAGGTCACTGCCGCGGACACTGGAGCTATCTACGTGACATCGACCACTGACCAAATTGTAACCGTGCGCCAAGTCGCTTCGGTCACGGACAAGGGGAAGTTAAACTTGTACCCACGAGGGGTTTGCAACACCAGCAAGATCCACGTTACTGAGTTCAGTCACGCAAACTTGGGGTCCATCGCGTGCCAGTCAGTGTCCGTGGAGGCCTCCGAGGGTGGAGCTGCAGTGGTGCAGGCAGTGGCATCGCTCACGGCCAACGCGGTCGAGGGTGGTCGCGTCCAGTATTTCAACTCGACAGCAGGGTTAGGGCTCCAGTTCAAGTCCAGCAACGTATGGCCAGTGAGTCAGAATGAGTTCACCACGTTTGCATTTCGTCCTGTACCTAGCCAGGACGCATTGACGATCGACTTGCATGGATTTGGCTGGGGAGCGAGGTTCCAACCCCCGAACCCCGTGACTGCGATGGCGGTTCCTATGGTCGATGCCACGGTTGGGTTCATGGCGATGTGTGGGGTGCTATTTCTGGCTTTTGCGTTGTGTCGACCGCCAAAGCGCAAAGAAACCCAGCCGCTCAAGAGCAGCCATACTCAATTGAACACCCAATACGTTTGATGCAGGCCTATGTATGTACTGTAGCTATATGTAGTTAGTATACATTTGTAAAGTTGACACGAATGTGAACATGATTTTGAGTTTTCTGTCTGTGAATGGTCCAATATAAATATAACGTTAATCAACAAGAATGACGCAAGCCCATTTCAAATCACTTCATCGTAACGTTAGTATTGCGTTTGCAGCATGGTGATGTGTTGCTGTCTGTTGTGGGGGTTCCAACTTGTGCTTGTATTGATCGCTCGTTTAATCACTAATAGTGGTCGGTTGGGCTCGCAATGCACTTTTGCATCCCACGATGTAACATAATAGTGCTGAGACATAGAGTCGTATTGTGCATTTCACCCAAATTTGGACTTCATTTCACCAAATTCCATTCGAATCCATTCGAAGTCATTAAACCTTGTACAAACTATACTATACAACGATTACTATATATGCGGTTTTGCCCAATGCGGAGGGACTGGGCCAAATCAAACGTTTGGATTGGCAGAAATTCAACAGGACGTGATTTAATTGGCTTAGGTGGTTCTTAATTCTGTTAAGACATCCAGTTTCGAATCGATACTACTACTACCTAGTACTACGTAGTACTTGGCAACATTATTCCGTGTTTTCATCGACCTCCGTCGTCTCTTCGTCAGGCACTTCGGTTGTTTCGTTAAGGGGTTGCTGCCATTCGTCCGTGAGCACTTCGCCGCGGACAATATGGATCTCGGGTCCATCGCCGTCGGTATTCACGACCTTATAATGCACCATGACATCGCACAATGTGACTCTGTATGTGTCAAACTTGGGGTCGGCGCGCTCGCGGGTACTGCGCATGTCCAAGCTCAGGTTTTCCTTGACGAATGCCGTAAACTGGTCAAAGTCCGCGTACAACTCGATGGCGGTCTTCCTGCGCCGCGTGGATTTGCACACGTTGTGGGCATTCCTGAGCGAGTCCTGGGCTTCGGGTGATGCAAACACGACTTGGGATATCTTAAGGGGTTCGTCCGCTTCGGCATGTTCCTTGCCCACCCACGCCGGCGCAAATTGATGTGTCGGCGCGTCGCTGAACGCCACGTACGGCTTTATGTCCACCACGGGCGTCGCATGCACGAGATCCAGGCCTTGGAACAGCACATACCCCTTGGCTACATTGACTTCGACGATCTTGGCCAGGGAGAGACCTAGCGGCGCCGGTCGATGCGGCGAACGCGTTGCCAGTACCCCCACGCTCTGGCCGTTGAGTCGCGGCGGTTTGATCGTGCCCTTGATCTTGTTCTTGTGTACGTTTGTGTTTTGGTGGAAGTGGAACAACACCCACGCGTGCGAAAACTCGGCCAGCGACACCAACGTCGTGTGCGGGATGTTCTTGTGCAGCACGAGCTTTGCCAGCGACGAGTCCACCAAGGATGGCTGCCGCGGCGTGCCGTTCCGCGTCGAGTAGGGTGACGAAATGACCCCGATGGTGGGAAACGTCACGAGCGGGATGGTATCCAGCGATGTCGACGACGAAGCCGCTTCAAGCAACTTGATGCGGTCCTGCGCGGCACCCAATGCGATCTGCAGCCGCACGCGGCCTTCCCGCTCGATCTTCGCCAATGCCTTGAGGTCGTCCTTGGCGAGTTTGGTCGCAGATGCTCGAAGGTTGTACCACACCAACGCCGCCGAGCACGCAGCCGCCGACGTGGCCACCGCCACCACCAGGGCCGAGTTCATTCTGAAAGTGTCCCGCAACAACCTCGGGAGCCAATGAAATGGATTGGCGGCTTTCATGTGACCATGTGACAGGACCGCACTGTCTTATCCGAATTAACCGGATAAGATCCAATGAAACATCGTATTTGACCATTCAGTACTATGTAGTATTTTTTGACGATATATTGTGAATTCGCTCTAAACTTCCTAAATTCGTGTGGTTTGTCTAATCAATATTGAATCACGCTGGAGTTATGATTGGTTGAATATACTTGTCTTTTCTGTAAGAGCCAATCAAATCTACTCAAATTTGGATTAGTCAATAGCGTCGATTCATGATTCGATTCAGCGGCGAGATTCGATTTGACGGGGTCTGGAAATTTGTTCCGAATCCACAATAGTATGGCAACCATCTTATTGTAGCCGTTACTGTCGGAGATTGATTGTTCAACGGGTGGATTATTAATATCCTTGCCATCGTAATCTCCCAAGCGTGGTAATCACTATAAACAGGCCAAGAGAATTATGGATAGGCTTGGAACTGTCGTCAAATTGGGGGGGTTCGGCATCGGTGGTTTCGTTCTCGTTGCCATTGATCAATTGTCCCTGCACCTCAAGCGACCTCTACAAGCGACAACCTCCACAACATCCATCAATCCTTCATGTCAGCCCAGGTGGACGACACTGCACCTGGCGACAGCCACTTTGTCACGATCAGCACGCCCAAAGCGAGCGTAGTGGAGACGTATGAGACGGCGGCGGTCAGCAGTTCGCGGCCGTCGTCGCAGTCGAAAGCCAGGTCATCCCTTCGCAAGGTGCCCAAGCTTGCAATCGAGTGGAAAATCGACGAGTTGACGGCCAAGATCCAAAAGTCACGGCGGGTGGTTGAAACTAAAGTCATTTTAAAGCAGGTGAACGGCGTCGCGTCCGCCGGTCAGCTCGTGGTGATCATGGGGCCTTCAGGGGCGGGGAAGAGTTCCATGCTGGACATCATTGCTGGCCGCAACAAGGCGTTCAGCGGGCACGTCAAAGTGAACGGTCAACCGTGGACCCCCGAGCTCAACAAGCGCGCGTGCTACGTAATGCAAGACGACGTGTTTTATCACACGTTGACAGTGCAGGAGCACTTGCAGTTCCAGGCGCAGTTTCGGATGGGCAACTCTTGCACCGCCGCCCAACGCCACGACCGCGTGCAGTACGTGATTGACGAACTTGGCCTTCGAAAGTGCAAAGACACCCGCATTGGCAACACCCAAGTGCGCGGGATTTCCGGCGGCGAGCGCAAGCGGCTCAGCTTCGCCACGGAGATTTTGACCAACCCGTCGCTGTTGTTTGTGGATGAACCGACCAGCGGCCTGGACAGTTTTATGGCCGAGAGCGTGGTCCAAATCATGCAAAAGCTGGCGCGCGAGGGCCGCACGATCCTCGCGACGATCCACCAGCCGTCGTCTGAGCTGTTTTCGCTGTTTGACCAGCTCTATTTGCTGTCGAACGGACGAACAGTGTACTATGGCCCCGCCGCCGACTCTGTCGCATACTTTGCATCGATTGGGTACCCCTGCCCCAACTACATGAACCCGACCGATTACTTTATGCGGCAAATCATCCAGCTCGATGCCGAGGCGACGGCGCGCGTACACACGATGGTGGAAAAGTGGCAGCAAACCGAAGCGTCGCGGATGCTGGCGGCGCCCGAGACGGCCACAGCCGCCGAACTGGCGGCGTTTACCGAAACCAGGTTGGGCCTCGTGGGGCAGTTTGCCGTGCTGTGCAAACGCAACGTCACGCGTCTCGTGCGCGACCACATGGCGTTCAAAGCGCGGCTGTTTCAAAGCCTGTTCATTTCCGTGATTGTGGGCCTGATTTACCTCAACTTGACCATGTCGCAGAGCGGGATCCAGAGCTTTGGCGGCGTGCTGTTCTTCATCACGATCAACCAAGTGTTTTCGTCGGCCAACTCGGAATTCCTGGCAGTTCCGTTGGAGTTGCCCATCATGTCGCGCGAGTACAATGGCGGGTTGTACGGGTCGTCGATCTGGTACTTTGCGAAAAACGTGTCGGAGCTGCCGTTCCAAGCATTCTTTCCCATGATCTTTCTCATCCCGCTGTACTTTATGATTGGGTTTGGGCCCCAGAACGCCACCGTCTTTTTTACGTTTTACGTGTTTCTCGTGCTGCTCAACTCGACCGCCACGGGCGTGGGGTACATGGTCAGCTGCATGGTGCGCCGCGCCGATCTCGCCCCCGTCATTGGCATCGTGCTCATCCTCCCGCTTGTGCTCTTTGGCGGCCTCTTCATCAACACGGACAACACCCCCGACTACTTTATCTGGCTCGAGTACATTTCGCCCTTGAAATACGCCTACCGTGGCGTCATGCGGGCGTTTTGGTCCACCGTGCTTGACATCCCATGCGACCCCACGCGCGCCAACTGCGTGCACAATGGCGCAGCGGTGCTCAAGAATGCGTCCCTGGACAAAGCGTCCATGGTCCTCGACGTCGCCGCCCTGCTCGGCCTCAACTTTGGATTCCGGTTCATCGGCATGCTTTTCCTCGCCCGGAATGTCAAGAAGCGCGACTAAATAGGATTGTACTACGACCCCCTGGGCTTGCATTTCCTTCTTCCTACATGCTTGTCACGGTCCTACTCTTAGTTGGTTGTAATGAAATATAACGTTCTAAATCGTTTAGATTTTGTTTATACTAGAGTAATAATGGAGGTTGGGAGTGAGTGAAAAGGCAGTATACTAAGGCTACATCAAGATCACTTGGTCCTCGGTGAACATGACAACGTGCCGACAAACAGGATCGCTTCAAGACATCATAACGTTAACAGTCAAAAGGGGAATATTATGCAATGGAATTTGATTTGGGTGTCATACTTGTACCTTGGCTCATATAGCCTACTCGAAGACGGAGTGGAACTGAGAGAATCAAGCACTGGAATTCACATGAACTGTAGGACAATATACATCTCATGAAAGGGGAATCAATCACGTTCGAGTGCACATTTCGATTCAAATCATTCTGCAATCATGCACGTCGTTTCATATGGACGCTCGTTATTACTCTCAACGCATGGTCCAGACCAAAGCACGGTGTAAATCCACAGTCAAAGTCCTCGGGAACACCCACGGGAAGGGCCGCGGGAACGCCCATGGCCGCGCCCCCCCTCGCGGAATACCAAGGACGCGACGGCCGTCCAATTGGATCTTGGTGCGATCGATTGGGCGCGGAGCCACTGGCGCCAGTGAAGTACGTGCTCGAGTGCCGTAGACCTTTTACTGAGCGTTCCCAAAGTCCCGATCGAACTTGACACATACGACGTACTCAACGCCCGGCATCACCGCCCATGTCGACAGTGCCTTGTGATCCAGTTGGCCACGTGCCACGCCCCACGGCTGAGTCACGCCAACTTCAATTTTGATAGTGCGAAACTCGTCAAAGGTTGGAACACCTGGGGGAAGCACGGACCCTGGTGTGTCGGCGTATGGCCCATAACTAAGGTCTGGACATATCCGTGTCCCCTGCGAATTGGTGGCGGCGTTGTGCGCGGCGAGCCATCGAGCGACGTGTGGTTTGGCAAAGGAAGTACATCGTGCCAACGCACCAATGTACTTCCCGTGCGGAGTGGCCGCAAACTCGATCATGTGGATGTCGCCAGTGTCAGCAAACCATTCCAAAAGGTTGGATCCCACGACTTGTCCGTCCGTGTCAGCAAATGCGTTCCATTCGTCTTCCGTCCCTTGGCACAGTGCCAACTAGAGGTGGAGGTTGTGACACTGCAACTTGCATAGCAGCGTTGATGCGATCGACGCTTGCGACAAGGTGAGGAGGGAGGTCCATGATGGCCGCTCGTGCAAAGACTGGTGTTACCACAGCCACCGATATTTCGATTGAAGCAGCTCCAATCGTTTACCACCCTCGTCCCAAATACCTCGTCCCAACACCTCGTACCAGTAATATCCTCCGTTCGACTTCATCGTCATGTGGTTGGCAAGCTCATTTCGACGATCTGTGACGGCCGCGATCACCATTATTACCGCACCTCGAGCTGCAATTGAAACAGTGGGGGGAAATCAAAGCACCAGTCTTTGCCCGGGCGGTCATCATGGACCTCCCTCCTCACCTTTTCGCAAGCGTCGATCGCATCAACGCTGCTCTGCAAGTTGCAGTGTCACAACCTCCACCTCTAGTTGGCACTGTGCCAAGGGACGGAAGACGAATGGAACGCATTTGCTGACACGGACAGGACCCAATCTTTTGGAATGGTTTGCTGACACTGGCGACATCCACATGATCAAGTTTGTATGCAGTCGAGGTTCAGTGGAGAGATGGCACGATGTGCTTCGTTTACCAAAGCGCTTGTCTCACGATGGTTCGCAGTGTACGGTGAGCAGTGTACGGTGAGCATGAAAATGCTCAGGGGGGACAATCGCGGTCGGACGGCAGTTTTGGACCAACCAATGACACTCCGGGGTATGTGCTTCCCCCCGAGGTCCAATCGTTTGATGATTTCCACACGATCAAAGTTGAGCTTGGCTCGTCCCAGCGGTGGGACGTGGGCAGCGACGCCAGGCGTATATTGGGGCCTCTGGAACCACGTCACATATTTGAGCCACATAAGCACTGTGCTCGACTTGGACGGCCGACCTTGGTATTCCGCCAGGTGGGGCGCTCCCCCAAGCGCTCATTCGTGCATTCCCGCATACTTTGCATGTGGATTTGCACGATGTATTGTTCCGTTCTACTACCCATAGTATGCAATAAGGACACGACACGCCCTCAGCGATACTAGTACTGTTCAAGCAGTCGAACCAGGCAACCATGCATGATTAAAATCCATAGTATATACGTAAGTGAAACTTGACGTTATGTACCAATTTCGGTCGTATGATAATGCGAACCTCTGAATTGACAATTCACAATAACATACAAAAAGAAAGGTTAAAATATTCGACTTAAAAAATTGGCACTCAAAACTATAGAGGTTCCCCGTCTAAAACATCCAAGGACTCCAAGCCTTCTAGACCTTCATGACGGGGTCTTCACCTGGGAATTCTCTACTAGTATTGCCGATTTGATACAAATTTGGGAGGGGGTGCAACTTTTTAGAATTCGGAAATGATCAACCAGGACTGAGATAGTATGCTAAAATCAATGGAGAGTACTAGTATGTCATGAATTGGCATTTTACATTTTACTAACGTAGATGGCCAGTTTATGGTGCACGGGACAGTTTAAGGTGCACTCAAATTGGCCAATGGAATTGCTTGTTTTTTGGAGTAGCCAATCGAATCACTAGAAAAATGAAATCACTAAAAAATAAGCAAAAACAGCATACATATTTTAAGCTTAAACCGTGCACCATAAACCGTCCCTCCGATTTTGCCTTGACATGAGTGGAAATCGAAGTAAATGAACGTAAGCTGAAGTCTATTCAAGCCGATTAAATAATCAGAAGAATGCCCAACCTTTCGGCTTCATGCAGTACTTTTCAGAATTGAAATCCCAGTCCTGGGAGACGAGTAAGCTGCATTCTACGACGAAGTCTCTTTCAAGTACACCATAAACTGGTCATCTATGTAGTTACTGAGTATTAATACTCCGAGTACCTAATATAATGAAGTAATACGTATTGTGCTTTCGAGTGAATTTTCGTGTTGTGGCGTGGTTTCTCATTGGAATTTAAATCGATTTGATTGGCTACCTCTGATGAGCTCAAAATTAGTAGCCAATCAAAACGTTCTCAATGAAATTCAACCAATCAGATCGATTGTGGATCAATTTGGTATGAAATCGACAATAGTACTAGTATATTTTTATAAATTTGACGGGTGCATAAACATGACATGTTCTTGGATTCATCAAACTTTCTTAAAATCATGGTCGAGCGATACATTGACCGCGCCGCTGCCGATGCCTTCTTCCAAGCAGACGGTCACGAGGTCGAAGCGAGTATCTTCCTTCGTGGGGTGTCTGCTTACGATGCATTCCAGAGATGGAACGATCGATGCTGGTATGACGACAATGACACCGTCAAGCACAGAGTGGTGTCGGCGGGATCGAGTCGGGACACTGTCCATGGCAAGGAACGCGTGACATCTGTGGCGGTGCCTAGGGGTGGAAGCGCGAACGACGACGATCGCATTGGCAGCGTGCATTTCAAACTCGTGGACCAAGGCATGTGGTTGGAAGGGTACCATGCGATGGTGAGCTTCATTCCGGACCGCGGCAACACCTTCGACACGTTGGTCGTATGGTCGGTCAAGTTCGATCCGTCACGCACTAGCGTCCTTCTCTGCTGTGGAGGCACCATGCTGCGCATGCTCATGCGAAATCACATGCATCGACAGCTCCAACGCATGCATTAACCAGTTAAATATATCAGTTTATCAACTATGGAGGGGACATCTGGCTTGGTGACGCCACGGCGGAAACCTTGGCTGGATGGAACCCATCATGCACGCAAGCGTTGTCCAAACTTGGCGACGACAGGCACGGCGGTCTGCAACGTGTATGGGTATCGGAACATCACCACGAGGATACCCATGGAGAAGCGTTGGCTAATGAGACCCATCTTCCGCCTTCGTCCCACGGCGCAAATGTTTCCGTACACGTTCTCGACCACATGAAACACATGTCCGTCCAGGTCAACGCGGTGTGTCCGCGCCAGGACAACGTCCGACAACACGGCATGCATCAACACCTTCGCCTCCGCGGAAACTTCCTCACGGAACCAGCCTTCCTCATACACCACGCCACCATGTGGATCGTAGATGAGGATGCCAGCGCCTAGTACGCCATGCCCTTGATCGACTTTGAGGTCCTTCACCAACGCTGCCCATGCGCTCTGTTCGGCTTGATCCATCATGGAAATGTAAGCACTCCGGATAAAACGAGGATTATCCGAACTAGTATGTTGGAAAAGATCCATTTGGTTGTGCCGTTTCCAGGAACATGTCGGCGGACGAATGCCGTGTCGAAGGCGACGATGGACTGGGAGACCCTGACGTGAAGGTATCCTCGGCGCATGGGAAGAGAGTTCTGTGGACATGAGTTTCATATGGAGGATGTGTAGATCATCCTTTTGGGCGATTCCGCCGTGGGCAAGTCCAAGTTAGTCGAACGCTTCATGATGAATGAATACCAGCCTCGTCAAGTAGGTTCACCATCGTGTCCTCAAGCGATGATGTTCATGCAACGACCCATGTTGTTGTAGTTGTCCACGTTTGCGTTGACGTTGTTCCGAAAGGATTTCACGACGCCAGACGGCAAGTCCGTCAAGATCGGTCGGATCACCCCACCCCACCCCAGATCTATACCATGAGCTCATGAGTGAACCTGTAATGCTTAGACTTCTGGGACACGGCCGGCCAAGAACGATTCAACAGCATGCATGCGTCATACTACTTTGGCGCGTCCGCGTGTATCCTTGTACGTCATGCCACGAAGCTCCTTGGATCATGCTCCAACTAGGTGTTTGACGTCACTCGGAAGACAACGTACCAGCACTTGGCCGACTGGTACAAGGAGCTGAGGGAATACTGTGAAACCATCCCGTGTTTCCTCGCGGCAAATAAAGTGGACGTTGATTTGGAGGTATTATGTTATTCCCAGCAAATATTTGTCGTGGAAATATTATGCTGAATGATGTAAAATAATCATATTAACTGGTAGATTCATGTTCAACAGGTCATTTCTTTCTTGAAACGTTGGTATTAGCCTCTTCTTATTATATTTAATTTTATAATGCTCGTCATCTATAAACTACCAACTTTTCACAACATTTTCTGACTTCTATTTTCATATTAATTACTCAAAATTTCAGCAAATTCAGACGTAGAATCGGTTGATTGGTTTTTATCCCAATAGAAGGATGTTTTTCTTCGCGGCGATAATATATTTATATTCATATTTGGCGTGCTAATATTTCTTCCGTGGTGAAAATACTACGAGTATATATATATATATATATATATATATATATATATTCAGCATACGTTATCATAACGAGCAGGTGACGAACAAAAAGTTTAAATTTGCCGAGACACACAACTTGGGGTTTTCGTTCGTGTCGGCTGCCGACGGCACCAACGTGGTCAAGGTACAAACGACTCTACCACGACACGAACCACCGATCCGGTGGTTAATATATCACTCTCCCTTGAAATATATATATATATATAGCTCTTTGAAGATGCAATCCAAGCAGCCCTCGACTTCAAGCACGAAGGCGGCGATTTCGTGTCGGACGTGCTGGACTTGCTCAACGAGTCTCCCTTGGACAAACCTTCTCGAAGTAACTTTGGATGTTATTTGAGGGTTCTACTGATGATGCGGTCGGGTTTTAGAGTGACCAAGTGCGCCACGAAGGTTATGCAAAAGAAATACAATATGCGAAGACAACTGCTGTCGAGTTCAGTCGCGTACATAACGATAGACGTGTATTCGCATAGTACTTTGGTATATAAGTTGGGCCAAATAAAACAGAAATGAGACATTGCCGTAATCTATATAACTTCCATGTTCAACTTGCATATCTGCAGTATATACAGTATGTACGAGGCAATAACTCGAAAGTAGTACTGAGACGTGGAATCATATGAACTGCTTTGTTATTAATAACCCTCAACGAGCAGCGTCTGGCTCAAGCAAACAGCGATCGCTCGGTGCAGTTGGCCTAGCAGGTTGTGAACGTTGTCATGGTCACACGTTTCAAATGTCGTCTCCAAAGCAATCTCGCGGTCTTGAAGCGCTTCCAAGAGGCCAAACAGTTGGACGCTGGTAAACACGGGCGGGGACTTTTGCAGCAGGGGCACGAGACTGGTCCACGTCGAGTGCCACAGATGACGTGGCACGCTGCAGTGCGTGCACAGTTCAGCCAATCGGCGCGCGGCATCGCGCTGCACCACGTCGCATTTCGTGGGGAGGTTCTGTCTATTCTCCCCGTCGTCGTTTTGGATCGATTGCAAGTGGGCCAAATCCCGTAGCACCAGTGTCACATTGTGATACTTCACGACAAAGTCCACGGTCTGCGACAGCGTCGGCGCTTCGGCCAATATGGCGGCGGCCGCGTCCAGTTGTGCATTCGAACAAGTCGTGTGAACTAGGTCTTGCTTGACAATAGCATCACATAAACTGTTGATCGCGTCCATATTGTTGGCACGGAGGTACCACGTGAGCGCGATGGCCACGTTTTGCTTGGCTTCCCACGCCCGCCCCCGGTCGGACGCGATGACCGCGGCGGCTTGCGGAAGGTGGTAGGTGCTGCAAATGTCGAGAAGTTTATTCGCAGCAAAGTCCGATTCGATTGGGACCTGCCGCACCAATTCCAGGACGACGGGACCTCCTAATGATATAATGTTGAGATTTGTTGATATTATAAAAAATGTTGATTTATTTTGAATTCGAGACATTGATAGGGAGGGAGGGAGTGATATGGTTGACATTTGTTGATATTATTAAAAAATGTGGATTTATTTTATATATTCGATAGGGACTGAGATGGAAGAGACCCGTGAAGGAATGAATGTATATGAAACGACACCACCAAACAAATAAATGGACAATCAGCACGAGTTTTTTATTCGAGCCAATCAGATATATTGAACTAACCACGCTTTTCAACAACGTGAGTGAAAGTCCTAAATTAGTGTGATTTTGGAGATCACACTAATACAAGTCGTTTCATACAAAATTCAGTACAACGAAAAGCGAAAAGGCGATAGATTTGGCGAATCATCAGCACACACAAATCCAAAGTTTGGGGTATAAAAGGACAATAATATTGTCCAGTCGATTCAAAAAGTGGAATGGCGCGTCAATCGAATGAGCAGCAGCAGACAATGAATCGACCAATCATAACCCAGAACATGATTCAAGTGGCCAATCAAATTCACTCGCTTCGAACGTGTGACACTGACATTATTGTGACACTGTACATACAATATCCAGTTCAACAACAATCGATCGACGGATTCGGCACACAAATCCAAAGTTTGGCTGAGTGGACAATATACAAGCTGGATTAGTAGTAGTAGTAGGATACGGAATGAGAAGTACTAGTAGTACGTGGACGGACCTTTGGTTGGGCATTGCTCCAAATACAGCGTTGCGAGGGGCCAGAGGCTAGTAGTACTAATAGTACTACTAGGCACGAGTGACGAGCGCACAAACGCCAGCACAAACGTTTCGGTGGGCGCGAGTTCCCCCTGCCGAATCAACAAATCGGCCAAGTGGGCCAAAAACCAAGGAAACGACGCTACAACAAACGAATGAAAACACAAAAATCGTCGATTTTCATTGTATTTCATGTATATATCTTGATATTTTATCCTTTTTGTTTATTTCTTCAAAATGTACAACTCGTAACAGTGGAGAATGTATATATATATATATGTATATATTCACGATTGAGGACCTAAATATCGTTTAAAACGAAAAAAAATCAACGGAAAATCATGCCACCCCATACAAAAATTTCAATGTACAGACGAGCAAAGCACAGGCAACCGTTGAGCAATATTAATATATATAAAGAATCATGAATTAATGGGGATTCGGTACAGATTTCCAGACCCCGTCGAATCGAATGTATCTCGCCGCCGAATCGAATCACGAATCATCGACGCTATTGGCGAATCCAATTTTGAGTGTATTTGATTGGCTCTTAAAGGAAGTATATTCAACCAATCAGAACTCCAGCGTGATTCAATATATTGAGTAGACAAACCAGGCGAGTTTTGGATGTGTATAGCGAATTCACCCTAACATCGAGATAGTATTGTCCATGGATCGAACAATCGATGGGCCAATCAAAACTCAGAACGCTATTCAAGTGGCCAATCAAACTCTTGCAACTTCAAAACGTGTGCTGGTTTTACAGACTTTAAACAAAAATGAGTACAAACAATCACCCGATGGATTTGGTAGTAGGAATCCAAAGCTAGCCCAAATATATATCATCCTTTTTTGGCCGAAAGGTCAATATATACATATATATATCACAATAAAGAATAGAAACGAGTACTACCTGCACTGAGCCCATGGATATGCTCCAACGCAGAGGTCAAGTCGTATTGAAGTAGAAGCAATACAATCTGCTCGAACGGCGGCAACGTCGACGGGAACGCTGCTTCCAAGCGCTGGACGATGCGGCGCCCAGTGGTGGGCGCCGACAAGTGCGCCTTGGGGTCTTCGAATAAGCATTTGGCCACGACCTGTTGATGCCAGCTGCGCGCATGCTGATCGAGGTGCTGGCCAGAGAGGAGCTCGAGGAGCAAGCGGATGTGCGCGTCCGACAAGGCCAGCGGGTCGTTCTGAAGGAGATGGAGGATCGCATCGTTCCACGCGGTCCAGTTGAACGACGCGTCGGAAGCCGTGGTCGGCATGTGGACCAGCAGGTGGCGGAGGCTTGCAAGGGACGGCGCGTATTTGGAATGGAGGGTCGACGTGGTGCGGGAGAGCAGTTCCCATGCCTTGCGTCCGTGTCCCGAGATCACGAGCTGGATGATCGTCGGCCAGTACGTAGCGTCGTCGTCGGACGTGTCGAGAGATACGTGGCTCTGAAGCTGGAGGAACGCGTCGTCCAACTCTTCCAGCTCCAGCGACCCGTAATGTTCTTGCACCCACGCCCCAAAAGCGTACGGCAGCAGCGTCGACGCGGTCGAGAAATACAGGATCTCACACAGATGTAGCAGTGCCACGGATGCTTTCACGACGTCGGACAGGTCGTTGCCGCTGTCCATGTCCCGCACGCACTTGATCAGCGCAGACCGGTAGGCGCGGGCGGCGTCCTGTACGGACGTCGACAGACGCGTGAGACCGTCAAAGACAAGAGCACTCTCAGAGATGAGGTTCTTCACGGCCCTGTCGAGGGGGACAGGTTCATGCTCCATCTCGACGTCAGACGCATCGGCGGTCGGCCAACCCATGAGAATTGCAAATTTGCCACGGATTTATTTCAGCCAATGAATGGTCAAAGATGAGTTGATCATCTAAATAATACTAGTATTTTAGTACTATTATTTAGATAATAGTACTAGTAATAGTAGTCCTGTAGTACAAGGATACTACTACGTATTAATAGTACTCCGGAGTACCGGTATTGATTAATAGTAGGTACAGCTATTATTAATAATAGTACTACTATTAATACTATTAATGACTATTAATAATACATACTACTATAATAGTACTACGTATTATATTATAAATAGAAATATACAGTATAGCGCGACAGTACAGTAGGGGACACATTTTGCTGGAGTATTATTTTGGCTCGCTTTGGAATTTTCATTTGATTACAGGACTTCACTAAAGCTGTCATTGAATATTTCTGCGATTACGTTTAGTACATTTATATATTTACCCAATTGATGGATAATTTCGACAACTCGATAGGATCATAACATTATTATTATCACACATACATCAACACGACACACCACACCCCCATCTTGTTCATAACGCTACTGGATGGCACAGCCGCAGCATCGCTCTGCTCCACTGGCGTACGGGTCTGCCATCGTAATCGCGTCACTGTAGTTGCCGCAGCCGCAGTTGAAATCGTAAGGCAGAGGTTGAATGGCGTGGAGCATGAGGAACTGCACCACGTCGGCGCGGTACTTCTTGGCCGCGCGGGACAGTGTTTTGGTCGTGCATGGCATGCCAGCTTCGTCCACAAGAAACATCACAACGTTCAAACGTCCCATCTCCGCGGCGCCGTCGAGGGCGTGGTGCGAGTACGCGTATCCGTGGCGGTAGAGCAGCGTGACTGCTTCCAGATGGCCTTGAATCGCGGCCATGTCCAATGGCTCCATCGTATCTGCCAAGCAAATGTTGCGGAATGAATTGCTCCATGCGAGCTGTTTGATGCGGCGGACGCGATCGACATAGGCATCCGAGTGGTGACTCCATTTGGACGGGCACACTTCGCGTAGCACGTCAAGGTGATTGAAGTAGGCTGCGTGCGCCGTCACGATGGCACGGAAGGCAGGCTTGCACGATAGCAACCGAGTGACACCAGGGACGCCGCGGTCCCGATAGAACGATCCAAAGGCGGCGTCGAAGCGCCGGACGAAGCGCAATGCTGGATGCGGCGCCAGCCTCGAGCCTGCCACAAACCATTTGAAATGCTGAAAGTCGCGGTACTCCTCGACGTGAATGCGTTGGCACAGACAAGCAATGTCAGGATACAACCCGTTCTGGAACGACACCACCACGGACCACACCTCCGGGATGTGCACGATGGTCTGCATCGAAGCTACCGTTTGACATTTGGCAACAAAAACAATTCGGATCAGATGGATTTGATTGGCCAAAAACTTAAAATATACTGTGGTAACTTGGGTTTCGGCGTTTCGGGGTTTGGCAGGCACCTCCTTGGTGCAGCCGCTTCACGAAATATAAGAAAACGTTAGCCCTGCCATTACCACGAATATGACATGGCTTTCTTTGAGGTACTACGTATTATTGCGTCAGAGACAACATAAGTATTATTGTACAAGCTGGCTGTACAGTAGGTCCATCGATACTGTTGTGGCGTTTCGGGAAAACTTACTGTAGATCCATACCAGGTAGACATCACATTCCTGATGGCGCTGTGTACTATTTATTCAACTACTCCGTATGTATCTCCAACGGTAAAATAGTGTTTAATGGAATATTTTATTGCCACGTCACAACAGTACGACCATGTTCGTATGCAACATATCCTTGGTTATAATCCCACACAAAACTACCAGACAATCCTTAACGGTACGCAAACAGGGGGAAGAACGGCGCTTCAATCGTGGCACCGGTGGCGTCGACTGCCGCAATCACATACTCCGTGACTTCTTTAACGTCACCTTCGCCAACATGATGGCGGACCACATCCAAACCGAGGTGCCATGTGGTAGGCATTTTTGGTCTTCCAGCCACTCGATCACATAATGCACGTTGTAGTCCCTTGCAATTTCCAGCGACTCGGCACACATCACGACGTTGGCCAAGGCGGCGTCCGACCGCAGCAAGATGCTGGGCTCGCCTTCGTCCACTTCGCTTTCAAGCTGGTCTGGCTCGAGTTGAACCACCGCCAACGGTCCAAACTCGTACTGGATAGATCAGGTTAGTTTCTTGGTTCTAGCCCACGCGATGTAAGCACTGGCCTTCAGGGGACGCGATGAACCGAATGTTGTCGTTCATGGAGCCATATTGTCGACTCGCGCGGTCCGCAGTGTGAATACACAGCCCCACGACTCGGGTCTCCTTCATTCACATCATCTTCATCGTCTTCGAGGTGACACACGTCCACTTGCAAGATGGCGTCGCTCTGACGCAACACAAGCGCAGCAGACTCTTCATCATCGAAATGATCCACCGATTCCTTTTTTTCTGCTGCAATTTCAATTCCTTCACATACGCCCCCACATGGCCCAACACATTCCCATGCGACCTGAACAGCGTCTAAAAGTGCTCTCCTTTCGACTCACGAATCGTCAGCGGTGTAATTATTGTAGCCCAATCTGGCTCACCAAACCACCGAGAGCTCTGGCGGTTGGTGGTGATAATATGCCATCTACCCACGAGGCCGCATACACTTCGCCTTTATCAGGTTTGAACACGACAATGATATTGCTTTCGTCCTCCAACCCGGCGTTCAAGGCATTGACGTTGTCGGCTGCAAACCCTTCGAGATGGTCTACGCTACAGTTAAAGGTGATGCGGAAGGCCACTGCTGGTTCGTCGTCTCTGTCTCCAAAGGGCTTCTGGTCGCCCAGTTGGAATCTGCACATGTTTTTTGGCAGTAGAAACGCCACTGGAACTCCGTGTCCCGAGGCGTGTACGTCACTTGGAGGTTGATGGCTGCTCCGCCGCCCGCATGGATAGCTACGGTGTGTGCCAGGATGTGGCAAATGGGCAAGGATGGGTTTGAACCTGCCATCAACCGTGACAAGCCAATAAATACGGGACATTTCGGCCCACTTGAATGTGATCAGGCTGCTTGGTCCGACTAACTTCATGGCCTTCCACCAGCTCCAGCGGATACGACACGGTGATCTCACTGTCGTCAAAGTTGGTTAACTTCAATCGCTGCTACCATGGTCGTTTAAAGTTGTCTATCGAAAAGTATCAACCCGCTAGGACGTTAAACTAAAAACGCGTGTTGTTATTTGTGCATGTACGATATCGATACTAAGGTTTTGTCACGAGTTTCAAGTGTCGAACTTGGCCAATGTATATAACAACCCCACGACAAAGTGGGTTTCGTTGTGGCTAAACTTGACCGACATTTTGAACTACTGTGAATCATTATCCGGAATTCACTCCAGTATATCCGGATTCCATCCGAATGGTACGAATTTTGTCATCAGTCCCCAACATGCCAGCATTCGGCCCTCCATACGATACGAACAACGTGTTCGCGAAGATCCTCCGCGGAGAGATTCCCTCCGACAAGATCTTCGAGACCGACGACGTCCTCGCGATCCTCGATGCCTTTCCATGCACGCGGGGCCACAGCCTATTGATCCCAAAGGTGTCGGGGTACACTAACATCTTGGACTTGCCGCCTCACGAAGCCGCCAAGCTGTTCCAGGAACTCCCGCGACTAGCCAAGGCCGTACAGGAGGCGGTTGGATGCGACGGCATCAACATCGTCCAGAACAACGGCCGGGCGTCGGGCCAAGAAGTATTTCACCCGCATATCCATGTCATTCCTCGGTTCCAAGGCGACAACCTGTTTCGTTTGCCGAGTCTCGCCGACCCCATCGACCGAACCGACGCGGCCACTTTGCTGGAACTCATCCAAGGCAAGCTTTAAGGCAAAATAAACACTCGAATTAGTCGCTTAATACTCGTCGGCGGGGGGTGGTGTCGCGTGGGTGGGTGGTCGCGATGGGAAGTGCCGTGGCAGCATGGGACCGGTGCTGCTTTGATCGGCCACTTCGGTTAGAAAAGGCGTATCTAACGAGTTTAACCGGGTTTCTTGGCTGTCGAGGGCCGGCGGGGCATCCAAAAAGCCCTGAATGCTGTTGATTTTGGCAAATAGCAGGCGTAGTACGCGCTCCCGTTCCTGTTGACAGCATCCGTATATATTGGTCATGTACGTCGATGCGATTTTGCCATATCTTTGACCTCCAAATCCACTAAATTAGGGTCTGTCAACACTACTTACATCCCACGTTAACGCCCGTAGATCGACCTTGTCTTTCACCCCTAATGGCACATGCTGGTTGTTGTTGCCCACGGAACTTGATCTTGTTTTCAGTCGAGGAAACTTTAAGCCGCGCTCTGCCGGTGTCTACATCGTTCATATACACATTATGAGTTCTAAAGTAGTTCTACTAGTATGGTTTGTGTCGAGTCAATTCGAAGTTAGAAGTGGGGTGCTCAATCGAAATAAGTAGACCCAAATCGACAAACTATCGACTGACCAATCAAACGTCATACTACTTTCAAGTGGCCAATCAAACTCCTGCAACCATCTAAATAGCGTGTGACTGTAAATAGTGTGAATTCCTTCACAACGTTTACATACAAAATTCAGTATCAAAATCGACCGACGGTGAATCAAAATGTTGACTGAAAGCACAATACCAATTTCGCGTCTTGGAGTTTTTCGGCTTCCACGACACGTTTTCGTTCGTCGAGCATTTGCTGCTTGACAATGTCGAGCGAGTCCAAGAAAAATTGCTCCACCTATTCGTAGCAACAACCACTTACTAAATAAACAATAAATAATACTGAGAACACAAGGGAATCGACAGACATCTGTGCGCTGGTCCAAGATTGTCTGCGCGAGCCGCTTCATGTTGCGCAATTCTTTGTTTTTGAGTTTGAGTAACTTGCGAAGTCCGTCCGCGTCCAAACTCACATCGTCCAGCTATAAAAAATGCGCCATGAGCAAAAAAATATACGGCGACGCATAGGTATGTTCGTGCAAAATTACAAACCTCCTTTTCGGTCTTGGTCGTGAGCAGTTGCTTTTCCTTTTCAAACTCGTGCACGACTTGACACAGCGACTTTTCCAACGTCTTCACCTTGGCCTGTACACATTCCCTCATCGATCCTTGGATACCGTCGAACGACAAAATGGGCTCATTTTTATTCCGAACCTGCAATTGTTTGATTTCCCGGGTCTGTTTCTGGCCATACTTGGCATACTCGAGCTCTTTGTCCAAATGTACTTGAATCTCACACTTGAGCGCTTTGGTTGTTTGCTCCAACGCCATGTTTTCTTTGGTGAGTTCTTCGGTCGTTATCAATTGAAACCTACGTCATCACCAATATCACACTCTAATATTGTCATATATCTCAATATACGAAAAAACATATAACGGTGGGTCATATCCCAACTTTAGCGAAAAACGCGATATTTGGCAAAATATTGACCTCTCCAAATGTTGGATCCTGACCGAGAAATTTTCACGTTTTGCGGATTTGTTAGAAATGGCCAAAATATCGAAGATCTTGGCATCTTTCTGGACATCCAGACTCACCCGAACTCTATTTTTATATATTTATATATTCTGAAATATATGCGATTAATTTTTTTTAAAAAAAGGTGGAGTTTATTTTCAGAAATATCTCGATTATTAAACCATGTATTATTTGATTTCTTGTGATGCAAAAACACACACAAAAAACGTTTTGAGAAGGCAATAGCGATTATATAGATATATGGATGTACCTCAGCTCTTCGCCCATGCGCTTGTTATCAGTGACGATTTTCCGCGTGTCGGCGTCGAGAACGTTCCGGGCATCTTCGCGAGATTGCTGTTTGATCTTTTCAATGCGCTTGTCCGTGTCCTTTTGGTTGCGCGCTTTTTCCTCGAGAAATTTGCGTTCGAGCATCCCCAGTGCGTCCTTCTGCGCCACTCGCTCGGATTCCAACGTGTCCGTGAGATGCACGAGCTTGTTTTCGAGCGAGTCCTTCATATCTCGAAACAACTCGAGCTTGGTCAAGTCTTCTTGGGCGACCTTGAGCTTGTCTGACAGCGTGAGTTCCATCAACTTGGACGTGTGCGAGAGCTGCTTGGTGTCCACGTCGTACTTGAGTTTCATCTCTTCCGTGTCGTCATGGAATCGTGTCTTGGCCTCGCTTAAGTCTTCACTCAATTTCGCCGTCACCTACAACGTACAAATGAACAAAATCGAAATAGTTCGACCAAATGTCGTATCTAATATGCTGTGGACGACGATATATCTTGGAACTAGGATCATACCTTTTCACGGGCGCCCAATTCCCGTTGAAAGTACGCGACAAACTCGTGGGTTTCCTTTTCACTCTTCTTGTGCAAAAATCGCAAGTGGTCATTCTCAGCTTGCAGCTCGTCGATGCGTTTCTTGAGCACGTCCATTTTACTCGCTTCCACTTGGTTATTCAGCGCCTCGAGCGCCGAAAAGTCTTTGGCTCCTGCGCCTGGAGCCGCCGTCGACGCCATCACGATAGCGTCGGCACACACAAAGACAGGTGGTTGCAGTTACACTTGGTACACCGTTACCAGGGGACAGTGACGTCAGTTTTGTCGGTTACACGAACACAACGCAAAAGCCAATGGCTGCTACGTTTTCAATATTCTACATTTCTCACTATTACAACACGCCGTGAGGGCGTGTTCAATGCATATCCGAGCATTTGCGGATATTTGGAAGCCGTATATATCCAAAATTGAAATGTTGAACACATTTTCAACATCCAAAACGGCAGTACCTTGAGTTCAAATATACTGCATATCGTAATAAATTTATGAAAAATAGATTGTGCAAGGGAATTTCATGAGTGGAGGATGCATCCATTCGAACATGCCCAACTTGTTCCTGGTAGTGTATCATGCTAAACATGTACGAGATAATATCGAAGAATCGTGTACTGTATAGGTAGTTGGTATACATTAACGTGTGCACCGTGTGTGAATTACACTCATTGCACGTTGGTACTGACGGAATCAACCACTTTACCGGTGAATCAATCATAACGTTACTCAGTCAGTGACGGACGGGACTCGGGCAAATATGTGAGTGAGTAAGCCTAGATATCGGTTGGTTATACTGTACAATGCTCGCAGTGATGCCGCCTGCCCACCTAATCGGTATGAACGAGCCGAGACGATTGCGGTATCGGTTGTCAGCGGTATGGATTGCCAGCGTTGATCCCGCAGCTGTCTCGGTTCGTGCAAGCTGCCTTCGAAGGCTTGCAATGTACGAGTACACCTGCGTGCAAATCTGTGTAGAATAGAACAAGCACCACACCAATTCCCTACCCACAAGTGCTGCTGTTAAACGGGAGAATATCCGGTTAAACCAAATATGCGCAGTATACTTATTATGCTCACTTTGTATATAGTACAGGTAACGACGGAAATCTTCACCCAGTGGTACTCAACCACATTTTACGAATAATAATATTGTGCAACCATTCAATTTGCTTGTTCATCACAACAGTTTTTTTATCCAATAGGTGACTGTTATTAGTACGACGAAGCGCATGACATGATGTCAAGTAATAGTCCATTTGGGTCGGCTTATTGGATAAATCGTATTGGACGACGCCAAGCATGGGACCCCTATCATTCAAAACCAAACAAAGATGTATAGATATTTGTATTCAGGTCATCCGCCCGCAAACACTTGGTAACAGAGAAGTTCACACCACATTCGAAATAGATTTAATTTGATACTAGATCCAAGATAATATAAAAAATACGGATTGGGTCGATGGTCACCACCGAAGCAGGCCAATAGTTCTCAAAATTCACACTCCCCCCAGTCTTCACCTTTGAACAGACGGACAAGCTGCCGCGCAATGCTCACAACTCGTATATCGGTATGCCCGTATTTACAGTGAGTGCAAAATTATGGTAACGGTCATTGCAATTGGTCCCGACTTCGATCCCCTTTAACAGCAATAATATATCTATACGAAACCAAAGCTTAATTGAAAAAAATGTTCACATAAAATTGAAATACGCCACCGCCTCAAATACAGTACTGTACTGTATTTTCAATGAGTAATGGTTGAATAACGTACCATGATTGGATAACGCTGACGTCGTATGCCCTGATTCGTCCGTTTGAACGAGCCGCCCAAAATGACTTCACTGTCCGAAGCACAGTCAGTTCGAAATGCGTGCGTACACGAGGTACACCAACGCTCAACGCCGGAAACACTTGGCCGAGTTCGCTGCTACTGCGACGTCCTCGAGAAGCTACGCCAGAGACAACAACATCGACTGGGGCACGTGGCGTGGCTGGCTGCGAAACAAGGACGCCATCGAGACGAAGCGCTGCAATGGAAAGCGGACGTCGCTAGGTGGCCAGGGGAGACATGAGTCCATTCTTTTCGCGGAAGACCTATATGCATTCATGAACGACGTACGCGACGGCGAGCATTTCTTGACGCACACTCACATGATCACCTTTATGAAGACGCCTAAAATGGACTGGTTGAGCGACTACCTGGCGAGCAAGAAGGACGATGATCGAGCCTACCATTCTCTGCTTCGACTCTGCCAGCGGTTCACAGCGCGCTATCGGTTTTCGCAGCAAGTGCCATGTGTCACCAAGGTGCCGCAAGAAGTACTGGCGGAAACAAAAGCAGCCTTCGTGGACGAGTTCTGGGAGAAATTTCGGTCGACAGCGCCACAAGACATCATCAACGTGGACGAGACATCCGTCTACTATGACATGCCGCCAAAGAAAACGCTTTCCAAGATCGGCGGCTCGTCCAAAGTGGACCGCGAAGAAAAGCACTCGGACCGCCTCACCGCCGTGCTGTCCATCCGGTCGAATGGTGAAAAACTCCCGATCTTGTTCATTGTCAAAGGCACACCTGGTGGTAGCATCGATCGCGACGAAGTGCCAACGTACCCGACGGGGCATGTGTATGTGGTTCAAAAGAAGGCCTGGATGGACACGCGCGTGTGGGAGATCTACCTCACTGAGCTGCTCAAGTTTGAGATCCTAGGTCCGTCTGTGATACTTGCAGACAACCTTGACTACCATGTGTCGTCAGCGTCGTATGAATGCGTGTCGACGGAGCTGTTCAGCGTCCTAGAGCCTTTGCCCAAGAACTCGACCAGCGTGTGCCAACCACTAGATGTTGGAGTTATGGGGCCACTGAAGAGTAAGTTGCGCTCGAAGTGGCTCCACGAAGCACCAGTAGTAACCGCGGCCGAAAAGCGCCTAGCTATGATTCTGCGAACCGTGGCAGTCTGGGATGACATGTCATCATCGGTGATCACAAGGTCTTTTGAGAAGGCATTGCCGAAGCCGTCGTGCGAAATAATGGTGTAAAGTTGGTCGTCAATCTTGCATTTTTTTAGCCAATTATTAGAGATCATCTTGATGAATGGTTGGGTGTCACATAATAATATTACTGGCAAATACCACCAGCAATATTTTTATTCCTGATACAAATCTCAAATGAAAATTCGAGTACCACTAGGTGAAGATTTCCGTCGTTACCTGTACTACGTACTAATAAAGTGCCTGCTGAGTGACCTTAACTTTACAGCGTAATATCACTTGGTATAGTGCTAAAGTATACATGATCTTATATGAGAGTTTGTATGGAGATGAGTATGTCACTAGATGTCCCACGTGTCACGGTGGTCAATTTGCCTGCCCTCGGTTTTATGTCTCGGACCTTCTCCCGCACCACGTTTCTCTACGCACTGACATTTTCCACCAATCATAAGCATACACTTTCGCCTAGGTTTCAGTCTCCTCACTTCTACATTTCCCTCGACAAGCTTAAGTCTCTTCTCTGGCAATGTCCACTAGGACTACCTCGGTCTTCTACTCGAGTCTTTTCATCGGAACTCTTTCTGCCTTATTCTTTCTTTACCTTTCTACCCCTTTTGCCCTTTCCCTATTCTCTTCATCTCTCCACTACGCCTACTTTTCCTCTACCACTTCTCGTCATTTGACACCACGGCCATGGTGATCAGTGATTGGGCAGTGACTTTGAGACAACCTACAACCCTAGCCTCCAGGAGCTAGCTACCACTAATTGAGACCATAGATACATGAGTGGCTTGTATGTATATCTGTTGGCTAGGATGTGCCGAGTTGATTCTGCAGGTCTTTTGGATATTCCAGCTTCTTCTCTAAACTGAGCCCTTGCTGCTACCCAGCCGCTGCTACTCAAAACAAAGTACGATACTCTGGCTGACAGCTCCAAGGACCCCAACATCCAACTCTTGGTCTTCAACGGGAACAAGACAGGCTTCCGCGTGTGGACCCAGAAGTTCGTACAGCACCTTAAGGTACTGACCACTGCGAAAGTTGGCCTATGGTTGGCTAATCGGACGAGCCGATCTGAGCCGATGATCAAGTTCGAAGACTGGCTTTCTGGCGAGCCACCCGTGGTACATGGTGCGAACGAATCTGAGCAACGGTGGTACTCCCACTATCGATCTGAGCAAGGTCAATACATCAGAATTCTGGTCAGCAAGGCCCTCCCTGATGCCTTTACCCAGCAATTCAAGGACACCTTTCGTGTAGACCAGCCCGTCCACCTACTCTGGGCCGCCGTCGACAAACGTTATGGGAAGTCGAACGTCAACACGGTTTAGACCTTGGTCAGCCATTTGATCACGACATCGAATAACGTTTTTCCTAACCTGGAAGTCTTGTTTTGCGACCTCAAGTCTGCCTGGAGCACTATCAACGTCCACACTCAGAAGTACTTGGGTAACGTGTCCGACCATTGATGGGCCAACTTTTCTTCATTTTTAATCTCAATTATTTCGGTTGTTTTTTGTTTTCCGCGTGGGAATATAGCATAAATAGCATAAATCATAACAGTTAGTATAACGTTAACCAAAAAAAATATCTTTTTCTTGTGTCTTTTAACTTCGAACAATAACAACATTTAGCATAAACAATAATAACATTTAATATATTAACTGTCCTTACCACTAACCGGCACGTCTTCCTTGAAAGATGTTTGTATTTCGATGACGCCGGGGTCAGCTTTTGCCGAATGCTTCCGAAGCGTCCGCGATGGAACGCCATAGGCCTCCGCAGCAGTTGATGCCGTGTGTACTTGCTTAACACATCGTGGACGGCCTTGTCCATGGTGACCTGCGTTCTTGGCGGCATTTCGTCGGTTCATAAATTGAAGAACCTTTAATATGTAATATTTTCCCCTCCATTTATTCATGCAGGTTAAATTTGTCGAGAGGTTGCCTTTTGTCCAATCAGAGTAGATTGGCGTTTTAATTGGATGAAATAAGTCGGCCCATCAATGGTCGTTCGGCCCATCAATGGTCGGACACGTTAGAGATATGATCAGTGAGGATCTGATCGTGGCATTGGCTTTGGGTGTTTTGCCCAATATGTACTTTGGTGCTCAAATCTCATTGGACGAGAAGGGGTTTAACCTCATAGAAGTGGAGGCAAAATTCATTGGGATATTTGGGACAAAGTCGAAGAAGGTCATTATGGGCATGGGTAGCCAATCAAACAGCATCTACCGTGGGTATGGCCAATTCAAGGGTAACCATGCTGTGAATTTTGTCTAATCGGAGGACAAGAAGCGCAAGCACGGTAATGGTCCCACTGTGGGAAACGACATTTCAGTTCGTGGTCAGTGCTTCTACTGTTTTGTCCAGTACAATGTCAGTGGCCAGCCTCACCTGAAGTCGGAATGTCCTAAACGAAAGGAGATTTTGGGCGTAAGGAGTTTAGGTCTAACATCACCAAAAACCCAATTGAAAGAGGCCTAACGTGGGTGGTAAGTTACTAAAATCCCTTGTAACGTTATAGTGGAATATGGAACCGGCCAACCTACACCTGCCCTAAACGGCCCAAATGAGGATCATTGGGTGCAAGAGTACGTTGTTGAAGATCGCAATGATTTTCTTGATCTTGGCTCTGCTGGCGACATTGCCGTGAACAATATCCTCACTGTGGATGGAATGTCCAGTTCCATGCAGCAGCTCAGCGTCCAATTGGATCAAAAGGTGAGAGATGATTATGGGCTTTTATTGGCTAATCGCAATTTGTCTGATAGTGATTGGGCACTGGACAGTGATTGCGGTCACTACCTAACCGGCAGTGTAGCTTGGTTTAACAAGATAAATCCTAATACAGGTCTTGTTTTTAACAAGATAAATCCTAATACAGGTCTTGTTTTTAAGTTTGGGCAAGTATCTAAGCTACACAGCTCTCACCTTGGTTCCGTTGTTGCGTGGTTCGACACACCTAGTGGAATTCGTCGATTTAGCTTTGAAAAGGTAGCACTCGTTCCATGAGCGCAAGCCAACATACTAATTGAGAATGTGATCAAGAGGGATGGAGGACAAGTAATTGAGAGCGCCTGTGGTAGGTATAAGTATGTGTTCTACCAAGGCGCACTGTGCTTTGTAGCTGTGGCGATGAATGGGGCCTACTAAATTTTACGTTACAAGCTTTGCACTCAGTGAACGCCAACATAGATGCAACATAGCGAAGCACAAAGTTTCACGACCCATTAGGATCAGTCTCGACCAGTTAGGGCGTGTTCGGAGCGACTTTTGTGTCAGCGGTTTTTGGAAAAGTAGCCAATCAAAATCGTTTCCATCGTCTTTTGCAAAAACCGCTCTGGACGACCTCCTTGAGGTCGTTTACAGCGACTTTTGGGATTGTGGCTATTTATTGGGCAAAAATATCAGAATAAATTGTTGGTTGCAAACTAAAATTTCGCAGGAGCACGCCCAAAGCACACCCTTGTCGGGTGCCGGTGGTTCTCCGG